AAAAAAAAAAAATCAAAAAAATTTGCTGGGTGCAGTGGCACATGCCTGTAGTCCTAGCTACTCGGGAGGCTGAGGTGGAAAGTTTGCCTGAGCCCAGGAGGTCATGGCTGCTGTGAGCTGTGAGTGTGTCACTGCACTCCAGCCTGGGAAACAAAGTAAAACTCCAATCAAAAATAAAAATAGCCAGGTGCAGTGGTTCACACCTATAATTCCAGCACTTTGGGAGGCCAAGGTGAGAGGACTGCTTGAATCCAGGGATCCAAGACCAGCCTGGGTAACTTGGCGAGGTCTCTACAATAAATAAAAAAAAATTAGCCAGTCATGGTGGCACGCGCCTGTGGTTCCGGCTACTTAGAAGGCTGAGGCAGAAGGATCGCCTGAGCACAGCAGGTCAAAGCTGCAGTGGCTGCAAGCATTCATGGCACTCCAAGCCTGGGCGACAGAATGAGACTCCGACTCAAAAAGTATACATATATTGAGAATCACAATTGATTGGATAAGGGCTATGGCAGACTGGCCAATACTAACCTGCTCCAATTAAGTTCTCAATGATGTAACTATTCTTCTTCTTAGTATCTTTATCCTTTCCTGTTTGATGAGACTTTTTAAACTATTTTATTTATTTTTTAGAAACAGGCTCTTACTATGTTGCCCAGGCTGGTCTCAAACTCCTGGCCTCAAGTCATCCTCCTACCTCAGCCTCCCAACATACTGGGATTGCAGGGGTGAACCCCCATGCCCAGCAAGAATCAGACATTTTTATGTTGAGCATCAATTAGTTTTGCAAAGAGAAAAAAGTTACTTTCCAAAGAAGGAAACACTGTCCATGAAAAAGCCGGAGGACAAGAAAGAAAGGATAGAAAGAAGCAAGGGAGTGGGGGAAGGAAGGAAAGAAAATCCTCCAGATGATGGGAAAAGGGGAGTGACCCACAATCTTCCAGGTGACCACCAGGGGGCACTGCATGCAGTGTCCTCAGCAAACACTTGAACAAACCGTTCAACTTCACCAGGGTGTCCTCTCAGAAGCCCTCCCCATCCAAAAAGACGGCTGACATTCGTCCTACAGGAGACGAGGAAAGGCAGTGGGAGGCAGTTTCCCAGCTGCGGGAAGTCTGTGTCTTACCTTTGGAGTCTTCTTTGGCCAAGTGACCACAGGGACCCCAGTGATGGCCAGACTGGGGTCATCATCAGCATGCTCCTTCAGGACATTCTGTGGCAAAAAAAAAAAAAGGAGCCATATTAGCCAGCATGAAGGGGAGGTCTCTGAAGTGGGTGGAGGTCCACGTGACTGAGAACTCTCCACAAGTCAATGTCTACCCACAACTGCATCACCACCCACACATTCGACAGAAATCAAGTCACCAGGGTGCCCTGGGGTCCGCAAAACACACAACATCCCCTCTCCAAAAAAAATTAGGAAAAGCAGATCACCTACTTCCCTATGACTTCCATGTATCATCCACAATCACACTTATGACACCAAGTACTTGTTCAGAGCATCACATACTGTCACACGCAGGATCTCACTTAATTCTTACCAAGTATCCTGGGAGGGGCAGGCAGGGGCACCGCGGATCCTCTGATGTATACAAATTCAACAACATACCCAGAGAAACAGAACCTTCACGAAGCTCTGATTCTGTCCTTCCGACAGTCACCTCCGTGTATACCCAAACCCTGATGTGTAAAGACGTGTCATTGTTCTTTGCACCAAGAGCCCTAAACAAGCAGGTTGTTGATCTGGTTTGACCGAGGATGGAGCCATCTGGCCACATGCTGGCAGGAAAATGGGCTGTGTTGGACATTCTGCCAGGCTGGGTGGGGGGGTCTCCGCCATGGCACACTGGGCTTATTCCTTGGTGAGTAGTTGGAAGGTTCTTCAAGGGTAATTCTGACTCTACCAGATTGTGGCTTGGGGTGTGACTGGACTTTAGAAACTCCTTTAGGTGTGAGAAACCACTCCACTAAAACATCTAACACCTAACTTACAGGTGCACTATCCAGGCTCAGGAGGGCAGAGTCCCTAAATCCCACTCTCCGGTACCACTCTTTCCTCTCCATGAACACCCACACAGGGTTTTATTTGGCTGCATCCACAACATGCCACAAAAAAAAAAAAAAAAAAAAAAAAAAAAAAAATGCATTGAGGGACACAGACCTGTTACTGGGCTATTCTGAACCTCAACCATGAATTTTTGGATTATACAAAAGCATTATTTCAAGACATTAAGAACAGAGTAAATTACACAGAAGCACTTAACAGGAAGAGCTCAGAAGATAAATGGAGGTGAAGATTATTATTATTATTTTTAGATGGAGTCTCACTGTGTCGCCCAGACTGGAGTGCAGTGGCCGCTCCCAGCCACTGCAACCTCAACCTGCTGGGCTCCGGCAATCCTTCCGCCTCAGCCTTCCAAGTAGCTGAAACTACAAGCGCACGCTACCACGCCCGGCTAATTTTTGATTTATTGTGGAGATGAGGTCTCACCAAGTTGCCCAGGCGAGTCTCGAACCCGTGGGCTTAGGCAATCCACTCACCTCAGCCTCCCAAAGGCGTGGGATTACAGGCTGAGCCACCGAACCTGGCTGGTAAAGATTATTTTAACTCACTTTCCCTAACCCACTTCACCCACTTCCAATTCACTTCTAATTTACTCTGCTTCTTGTCCGACTCTCCTGGTTATCATTTAGTTGCCCGATTTCTCAAGATGTGCCTATTACCTCAAACCAGCCAGAAGTATTCCCTTCCCCCCCTCCCACAGAAGGCAGCCAACAGCACAGTGGTTCAACTCCCAGCCCCAGCATATTCAGCTTTCTCAAAGTCCCACAGTCAATATCAGTGATGTTTAAATGCTATTTATAAAATGTCTTAGCTGGGCACAGCGATGCATGCCTATAATCCTAGCACTCTGGGAGGCTGAGGCAGGAGGATAGCTTGAGCCCAGAGGTTCAAGACCAGCCTAGGCAACAGAGCAAGACCTCGTCTCTACCATGAAATCAAAAAGTTAACCAGGCATGGTGGTGCACACCTATAGTTCCAGCTACTCAGGAGTTGAGGTGGAAGGATCACCTGAGTCCAGAATGTGGAGGCTGCAGTGAGCCATGATTATGCCACTGCACTCCAGCCTGGGCGACAAAGTGAGATCCTAACTCAAAAAATAAAATGTCTTAACTCACTAGCATATCCCAAAGCCCTGCACAATGACTAACATAACGTAAACTTCCAATAAACAAAACAAAAATAAAATAAAGCCGCAAATCCTAAAAGAGGGACAGTGTACAAAATGCCTGACCAGTACACCATACCTCAGAAGTGTCAAGGTCATCAAAAACAAAGAAAGCCTAAGAAACTCTCACGGCCAAGAGAAAGCTAAGACGACGAAATGTGGTATCATATATTGTGTGGAACCCTAGAACATAAAAAGGACATTAGGTAAAACCTATGGAAATTGGAATAAACTACAGACTTTAGTAGTATTAATCAATACTGGCTTATAAATTGTAAGAAACGTATTACACTAACCGTGTAAGATGTTAAGGATAGAGGATAATTAGGTGAGGGGGTATCTGTGGGAACTCTTTTTACTATCTGCTGAACTTTTCTGTGAATCTAAAACTGCTCTCAAAAATAAAATCTACTAATAGCAATTAAAAAAAAAAATGCCCATCAGGCCAGGCACAGTGGCTCAAGCCCGTAATCTCATCACGTTGAGGGGCGGGGTGAGGTGAGAGGATTGCTTGAGTCCAAGAGTTCAAGACTAGCCTGGGCGACACAGCAAGACCTTGTCTCTTAAAAAAAAAAAAAATCAAGGCAGGGCTCAGTGGCTCAGGCTGTAATCCCAGCACTTTGGGAGGCCGAGGCGAGTTAATTGCCTGAGCCCATGGGTTCGAGACCAGCCCAGGCAACTGGGTGAGACCTTGTCTCTACAATAAAATTTTAAAAATAGCTGGGCGTGGTAGCACGTTGTCTGTAGTTCCGGCTACTCCTAAGGCTGTGGCGGAAGGATCACTGGAGCCCAGAAGGTCGATGCTGGGGTAGCCATGAGCATGCGTGCCACTGCACTCCAGCCTGGGCAAAGGAGTGAGACTCCAACTCAAAAAAATAAAAAATAAAAAAATAAATACCCGGGCATGGTGACACATGCCTGTAGTCCCAGGTACTCAGGATGCTGAGGCAGAAGGATTGTCTGAGCCCAGTAGGTCAAGGCTACGGTGAGCCATGATCATGCCACTACACTCCAGCCTGAGCAACAGAATGAGACTCCAACTCAAAAAGGGGGGGGGGGGGAGCTTTCCAGAAATAGGCTCCATGACTAAAGCCTTTCCATTCCACCCTCATATGTGGGTCCCAAATGGTTGGGGAAAGGAGCATTACTTCCAAAGGACTTTCCACACCCTTGGCCCAATTCCAAACTCCAGGACATAGGCAACAAACTCAAATGCTTCCAGGCAGCAGGCAGTAAAGTAAATAAAATGTAAGCACACCAGGACAATAGGGAATAGTGAGTCCTGTGGCAAACTGGAAAGCACATACTCCATTTAGAGGACAAATGTGACTCAATTCCAACTTACTCACCTCCTATGGAAATGAAAGCCCCACCAGATCTCTGATTTTTCAGAAAACATCAAAGATCCGAGATTAACTTGAAATCTCTCTAAATGTTGGCAAGTGATTGAGACATTTAAAAAAACAATGGTGAACCAAACATATCTGTGTACTGATTTGGCCCAGGACCCACCAGTTTGCAAACACAGCTCTGCATGTGATTGAAAATAAAACTCGCCTTTGTTCTTTGAGTTTTCTTTTGAATTGTCTCAAAATTTCTTGTCATTTTGACATCGGAGCTGGAATCTGGAATTCATAAACATTGGGGTGGAGGCCTCTTTAGAGGGATATCTGCTTACAAAAAGCAATGACTGACTGGAGTTACAGGTACTAGTCATAATTAATACATTAATAACAACAAATAATAATTTATTCATAAGCAGGGCGCAGTGGCTCACGCCTGCAATCCCCGCACTGTGGGAGACCGAGGTGGGAGAATTGCTTAAGTACAAGAGTTCAAGACTAGCCTAGGCAACATAGTGAGACCTCATCTCTGCAAAAAAATGTAAAAATTAACTGGGCTTGGTAGCCTGTGCCTGTAATCTCATCTACTCAGTAGGCTGAGGTAGGAGGATTGCCTGACCCCAGGAGGTTGATCCTTCTGTCACACTCCAGCCTGGGCAACAGAGGGAGACCCTGACTCAAAATAACAACAATACCGCCAATTTATTCATTAATTATTTACTTACTTTTCTTTTTTTTTTTGGAGTCAGAGTCTCACTCTGTCACCCAGGCTGGAGTGCAATGGCATGCTCACGGCCACTGCAATCTCAACCTGCTGGGCTCAGGCGATCCTTCCGCCACAGCCTGCCAATAAACTGGAACTACAGGTGAGCGCCACCACGTCTGGCTAATTTTTCTTGATTTAGTGTAGAGTGGAGGTGTCGCCAAGTTGCCCAGGTTGGTCTCAAACCCATGGGCTCAGGCAATTCTCTCACCCTGGCCTCCCAAAGTGCTGGGATTATAGGCGTGAACCACCAGGCCCAGTCCTATTTTTTTTTTTTTTTTTTTGAGTTGGAGACTCACTCCATCACCCAGACTGGAGTGCAGTGGTACGCTCCCAGCCACTACAGCCTCAACCTGCTGGGCTCAGGTGATCCTTCCATCTCAGCCATCCAAGTAGCTGGAACTACAGGCACAAGCTACCATGCCCAGCTAATTTTTGATTTATTGTAGAGACGAGGTCTCACCAAGTTGCCCAGGCTGGTCTCGAGAGCTCGAACCCGCGGGCTCAGGCAATCCACTCGCCTCGGCCTCCCAAAGTGCTGGGATTACAGGTTGAGCCACCAAGCCCGGCCTAAAAACTGGTTTTAAAAAATATTTCCCCAAGTGCTCTGAGTCCGGCATCTCACGCTCATACTTCACAGCCTGTGTTCCCCTCTGTGCGTGACCCTCTATGGCCACCAGGGGGCGCCCTGGGCGCTCTCTCTCGCTCAGGGAAGAATATTCATTTGCAAGTGACAGGCCCTAGGAAAAGGAGATTCCTCTCATTGGAGATTTTTGTCACTGAGAAATAGATTGTGCTGGAGGGAATCATGTCACTGGCTTCCCAAGGCTCCTCCTGAATGTACCCACTCCCTGGCGCACAGATAGGAGGAGGGCTG